TAACAAAAAAAATCTTTTAATTTTCTTCCTTATTATCTCAACAATTCAATTGTAATCATTTCTTCTCAAAAGAATCACCAAATTTATGGTGTTTAACGGATATAAAAATTCTTATTTATGTTTATTATAGTTTCAGTCTTCTTAAATTTTGATATTTTACAATTATGTTTTATTATAAAATATTTTAGGAACTTCATTCTAATAAGATAGCACATGGCCTATATATTTATTGGGACGGGTCTGTCTTTATTACTAGGATCACTCTTTGGATTCAACAATTTCAAATATATATAAATAAAAAAATTTTATATAAAATTGATATTATAAGAAAAAATATATACAAGTACATAAAATTAAAACTAATGTTATTTATAATAATAATAATAATATCTAAAAATGTTGAAGAGTGTAATTTTATTAATTTTTATTTCTCTTCTACATGGGTACTTTTTTTTATTATTAATTTAGAGTAATTACAAGTAGTAGTACCTATTCTAGAGACTCTCAACTATTAAACAATAAACGTTCAAATACCCTTTATGCATTGCTGCTCGAACTTGAAACTTCAAGGAATAGCAATCATCTCTCTAACCATTGAAATAACTTGATCCGTACTACATAGGAACTTTTAATTACAGTCAATAACCAGAACAATAAATTATGATAACTATCCAAGTATGTTATAATTGTATAATTAAACATTTTGAATAGTATTTTTATTGATTTAAATTTATTTCCAAATAGAAATACTTAAATTTAATTTAATTTGAATCGTAAAACAAATTTATAAATATGAAATTTTCAAAAGAAATTATTAAATTCCACTTTAGGATGGACTTTATTAGTTTATTTACCCTTTTCGATATATCTCTGATTGCGTCTACTGTGATCCAGTCAAAGGACGCTGACCAAGACATGAAGGGAGTACATAAAAAGAGGGAGAGGATGGTGGGCATGATATTCAGCTTTACCTTATTCTATATCGGATCTTCAACATTAGACGATGTTTTAATTATTAAAAGCCGCACCCATTTTGGTTCAGTGAACCATGGGAAATGCCAGCTAAGATTAGGCAAATTCAAGGCAAGATACATGGAGAGGATTCCGACATGCACAAATAGTACCACGGTCCATCAACTTTACTTCATTAATTAATTTCATTAATGGGGTTTCCAGCCTTGGGTTTAGCATCAAGACTGAAAACAGACTCAACTCATCCACTTCAATAATGGATATGTATAATAATATTTAGGATAAACTCCACTTTAGTATTATAACTATCATTTTTATTCTGTTTCAGTTACTTGATTATTTTTTATTTTAAAATCATAATATTATATTTTGATTTAATTTTGGTCACTCATCGTTAGAAAATCAACAGTAATACTGACATGTCATTATAAGGTAATACATCATTAATTTTTTTAGAAAAATGACATATCCACATCTCTATTAATATTTTAGTAACAATTGATCAAATTAAACTCAAAACATAAAATTAATATATATATATATTTTTAAAATAATTGACGTGATTAAAATAATATAAAAGTAATAATTAGAATATTAAACATGTAGTTTACCTTTATATATAGAGAGAGAGATTTATTGTGCATCGATAGATTCAATCGTAATTTAGGAATCATTTGGCAGAGGAGCAAGGTCCATTGGTTGTACTCGTCAGTCAGTCGGTCTTAATTAAGCTATCAATTTATGGTCGGTGTAAGAGGAAGCTTCCTTCACTGATACCATTACTATTATTATTGATGGAATCTATTTGATTAATTACATAAACAGACAAAATTAGTAATTAAACCTTAACATTCCTTTTCACTGATTCCCAACTTTCCGCGTTTAATCAAATCTTGATTAAGTCATTTCGCTTGCTTCACGTCCTAATCATTCGATTGAAAATTGCGAATTACAGTTAGCTATATCAACTGTTTGTACTTAATTTGTACCCCAGCTGCTACTATTCCAATTCAAGTTCCAAAATGTTTCCTTGGAGATATTATAATTTGGCAATCTGTGTGAGAAGAATAATGAAGTTCGGATGTCGGTGATTGAACAGTGATTGAACGATGTTTATATTTTTTTTGTCTTTATAAAAATGGAGAAGATGACGATGTAAAGAACATGGTTCTAAATCTTTTTTAATTTTGGTTGAAGGGTTTTATAAAATCCTTTAGGGGGTGTTTGGTTCAAGGATTGTGGGATTCCCATGAGATGGGAATCTCACATTCCCATGTTTGGTTGGCCGGGAATCTCATTCCCGGTAATGTTTTATTACCAATAGTAGATTTTTTGAGATATATTACCGGGAATGTCATTACCTCCCTTCCCTTAGGTATTGTAACATTACCGGCGTTTTGGACTAAAATGTCCTTAAATTTTTATTTTTTTCAAAAATATCCTTCTTCTATCATTGAATAATAAAAATTCTACGAAGGTTAAATTACAAATTTATCCTTAAATTATTTTAGATTTACAAAAAAAATTCTATAATTAAAATTTTATATGAAGTTCAGGGATTAAAAAAATTTACCCTTTCATTAAACCTTTTTTATATTTTTAATTTTGTAAAAAAATTTATAAATATTATGAATTTAATTTTTTTAAAGAAAATATATAAATATTTTACAATTTGTAATATTATACAAATATATAATAAGGACAATTTGGTCAAATATACATTCCAATAATCTTTTATTCCTTTAATCAAACACGGTAATCTTACATTCATGCTAAACCAACCAAACACAAAATACAACATTCCCAGTAATCCTATTCCCTGGTAATCTTTTATTCCCACTGGTAATCTTACATTCCTAGAACCAAACGCACCCTTAATGTAAGTGTTAGGTAGGAATAGTTACTCGTAGATTGACTGATAATAGATTAGCAAATTATATGTACCTATCAAAATTCATATTAAAGATTATGAAATTCTTGAAACGTTATGTCTAGAGATATTTTATCGTAATTTTAACTGCAAAATAACATTTTGAAAATCTTGATATAAGAAAACGATCGTACAAAAAAAATTAAAGAATGTACAACAAATGAAATATGAATAAATAGTCCTAATTATATGTTTTATTAAATTATTGATTGATTTTACTTGTACTTTAGCATAGTGCAGCAACGAGAGAAAACGTTCTCTTTCTTTCTTTTATTCATTAAATCCCATAGTCGATAGTGCTAAAACAAATAGCATCGTATAACATGGTTTTTGTACATTATCTTTGACGTACGTGTAACGTTTTCTGTATATGTTATGATAAGTATTAAATAATTGGTTAATGGTACTGTACTTGGTTTTTAATGATTCCCCAAATTTTTTTTATAAACAAAGTAGAAAGAAACTTGTCGATAATCGATGATCGTAAGTCCAATCAATAACTAGCTGGCTCGTCTATTCCACGAGGGTCCGAAACAACTCTCAAAGGCCCCATGTGTTCTTGGCCAGACTGGTGCAATAATTCATGCAATCGCCACTTTATGTTCTTATAAAATCCTTTTAATATTAACTTTCGTTTGGCCTTACTAATCGCTGTACAAATTTCTCAGCCACTGTATTTGCTTATTTATTTAGAAGACCATTGATTTTTTCCCTTTCTAACCTCTATTTTACCTATATTCCGTCTCGTATTTGTTTATTGATTAAAACACAGCTGTAATTTTCCCTTCTCTAATTTCAATATTCCGTCTTAATTAATTTGGATTAATTCTGTATGCATAGTATTAGTGGGTGAGTCTCTCAATAATGATTTTCTGCATACACAATGATTTAAACTTGAGATTTTACTAAACGATATCAAACTACTTACCACTTGAATCAATCCATTGGTGATATTAATTTTTAACTTTGAAATGAACCAACTCTTTATAAAATCGAAAAGCATCAAGCCATTTTAATTAGTTAAACAGTTTTCCTAATAAGATCATTAAGCAAACGATATTAGTCAGATTTTGACGGCCAAAGACAAAGCTAAGCAACATTATGTTTAAACTCGTGACGAATAATCCCTTCGGCTTTGTCTTATCAAATAAGAGCCTAACGTGCAGTTTCCTTGTTCTTACAGTTGCAGCGCAAAACGGCTTAAGCTAATTAAATTTACAATGCAATCAGTTGTAATAGAGATTTTAGTATGATGAAATTAATAAAATATAATCTCTTTATTTTAATATAGTATAAATTAAATTAACCTTCTTAATTTTTTATGATGTTATTAATAGTCACAAAATAATAATATCGTTGGTTAAATTGAAGACATTTTTTGGGTATAGTTATTTAGTCTCACAATGGAAGTCACATAGAAATCTCTTCAACTGTGTTAAATTAAGACTTAACTACATATTTAATTATCTAACTATTTGAGTGATTTTATTTTAATTATTCAATTATATTTTTTAAAATCATATCTTATTTTATGTTTTAATATCATTTAGGTCATTCATCATTAAAAAATTAATAGAATTACTGATGTGATATCTTTTTTATTTTTTCAATGATGACGTGACATTAATTTATGGTGACACATTAATATCACTGTTAATTTTTTAACGGCGGATGACAAAAAAAGGCTAAATGTAAAAAAATAGTTGAGTGATCAAAACGAAACCACACTAACAATAGAGTGACTAAATACATATTTTACACTTAATTAACAATAAATTTATATGTTAATCGAATTTTTAAGATCGTTTAAATAAAAATTCACATCGTCACTTTAATAAAGAAAACTAATTATGTTATTAATTTCAGCATCAATAGGATTAAACCACAACTAGACCTATAATCAATAAACAAAAACCTACCCATATTGTAAGAGTGGAAGAGTAGGGCATTTTCGTAACTTCAAGTATACTATCAAATATAATAATACTTTCTACTTTAGTGCATATGAGTATGTTGTTTTTGCTATATAACATTGGCATTGTCCTCCATTAGCCACAATTCATTTCAAGAGAGAAGAAAGAGGCAAAACAAAGAGTTTGAGTTGATTTCAAAGCCATGGGGAATAGTTTAAGATGCTGTTTGGCATGTGTTCTTCCCTGTGGAGCTCTAGATTTGATCCGTATAGTCCATTTGAACGGATATGTAGAAGAAATTACGGGTCCGATTACGGCCGGTGAGATCTTGAAGGCCAACCCTAATCATGTTCTTAGCAAACCAACCTCCCAAGGTGTTTTACGTAAGATTTTGATCCTCTCGCCGGAAACCGAGCTCAAGAGAGGCAACATATACTTCTTGATCCCGGCATCGTCGTTGCCGGAGAAGAAAAAGAAGAATATGCAAATCAAAAAGCCTTCCAACGTTAGCAACAAGAACAACAAAAACGGCGTCGCTTTGGATTGCGACCTAGCGAACGTCAAGGTTTCGGAGAAGAAACATTGCTCGCGGAAGGATCGCCGGCATAGCCGTGTCGGATCATGGCAGCCGCATCTCGCGAGCATCTCCGAAGACTAACGGCCGTGCCGGGATCTCATTAACAGCAATCATACAATGGGGACGTGTTTTTTTTATTATTATTGTAATACGTGAGGTATTGGTTTTGTGGATATGGATTTACTTTTGAATCCTTTTTTTCTTTTGTTTTTTGTTTTGGATCTGTCGGCGTATAACAATGGCAGATTCGGAATTCCACAACGTGATGCTCCATGGTGAAAACTATATGACGATGAGAGTGAAATATTTGTATTAATTGGTATTGTATTTACACCCTCAAGATGTAAGTAAAATCTGCTTCTCTTTTTCTTTAATTGTTTCCCTTTCCTAGTGCTGTTATCATCTCAAATAAATATATGATCATGTGTTGCCTTTGGAGTTTCACAATTCTTACGATATGAAACTTAATTTAATTTTTTTTATATTGAACTTATTAAGTAATTTTGATAGTAAATTAAAATGTTATTCTATTTAAAGAATTTAGATTCAAATATATGTATATATATAAGATTCGTATACATTGTCAATAGAATATAAATATTCTAAACAATTACTACCTTATAAATGCCTTACATAAAATAAACTTCAATTTTTTTGTTACAACTATAAATTTAAAATTATTCATATTAGAATTACGTGAATAGTAAACATACCATATCATATAATATTATCTTGAAGTGAGACTTGTCAAGTACTTTATTTCTCTATGATAGAAGCATAAAATTACATTATAGTGTTACAAGTAGCATATTAAAATAATATGGAACTTGTTTAAATTGGAAGGGAGTACATAGATTAACGATTATTGTTTAAGCTGGGAAAGAGTTGAACTTGAATTCATTCTCTACCTCTACAACTGCTAACACGGCCTTGTCGATAAACTCTATTTTTATAATCCTCTCTGGTTTAACATTAGTAGGTGACAAGTTATTCGAATCAATTATTATCATATCTAAAAATAGATCGAGGAGTACAAACCAAACAACATTAATAGTTAAAAGGATGATTGTTATCTCTAAAGTCCTCTGATTCGAACACTGGCGACTTCAAAGTATTTAAACTTTCATTGTCAAATGGTTGAGAGCCTTTAGAATATACACTATCACTTTTAATCACTCTAGATTAATAAAAAATGTAGATTGACGAGACAATAATTCTTTAAAAAAATAAATTTTTTATAATTTAAATATTTTTTTATATTTTCTATAAATAATATATATTTTTTATAAAAGTTTATCTTTAACATAATATCATAGTTCTGTATCTAATTATAAATTGTTTGAATTAGACTCTAATTAATTTAAATATTTATTGTTTAAGCTGGGATGCCTGCACGATTGAGATTTGAGAAAGACGAAAACGGCAATCATTTTGGGTTTTTGTTATTGAAAATGTAAAACTAAAAGTCGATAAATGGCGACATCTACACGCTACAATATAATAACAATGGCCAAATAAATGCAAAAAACAAAAACAAGCTGGCAAAGATTGAATAAATAATTCAGTCTTCACATGGAGGATGGATTCCCCCATAAATAATTATTTAGACAAAACTTTCTCAATTCTACACTTCTTTATTAATTAATTATTTTACATTTTTGGACCACATAACTAACTCCTTGGTTTTAGTTTTCTTCTTCTTTTCTTACAACCATCCGGGATCCAACCAACGCAAAATGAGTAGATGATATGAAACTCTCTTTCTTTTGGATTTTCTTACATGTTTATTTTCCTTTCTTCCACTGTATTAATGTAGATATTTAGTTTTGTCCAGACTATTTAAATTGAATTTGAAATTGAGAGAGTGAAAATGTTCTCAACTTACAATCTTTCTTGGGTCAGGTAATGGTGAATTTTGGGTGTTTCATGATTTCATTCAAACCTGAATATAGTTGATACTCATTATAAATATTTATAAGGGTAAAGTACAAAAATGGTTTTTATTTTATTTTATTATAGGCAGGCCAGGGCACTTACCCAGGGCCCTTCTTATAAGGGTTCAAAATTATAAATTCACATATAATTAAAAAAAGGATAAAGTATCTACTTAGTCAACCATCTATTATTTTATTTATGTTTTGGTCATATAATTATTTTTTTTCAAAATATACTTAGCGTTATATTTTGTTTTTTGTTACCAGCCTTTAAAAAATTAACGGAGATATTAATGTGGCATTTTAAATTATTTTTTCTCTTTTCACTTAATTATTCTTTTATTATTTTTTGAAAAGACGAAGAATTTTTAAAATCTAACATGTACCCTCTTTAAAGATGATCATGCTTGTTGTGGAGTAGTTGAGTGTTTAATAAATTTTTTAGTATTTTATATTTAAATTTTGATGTATTTACTAGATAGTTTATTAAACATAATAAAAATAATTTACAAGCAAATTTATTTAATTTTTCTTATTCTCATGATTCAATTTTTTTGATACTTAGTATTAAGGGTCTAATTTTATATTCGCCTCAAACCACTGAAATCTCAGAAATGGGCTTGATTATAGGTCATTGCTTTGTTAAGTCTCCGACTATTAAAAGTTACAAAATGGTTCATCAACTATAGAGTGTTACTATTTTTATTTTTCCGACACCCGACTATTGATATGTTTCCAAACTCGTTAACATACTGACTAAGATATGATAAAATCTGATCCCAAAATCTCAAACGACTATACAACTCAAACAATTCCAGGATCATATTTTATCATATCCTAGTCATCAGGTTAACGTCCAACTTAGACTACCATCAATTTTTTATTAGAAAAAGACGGTTTGGAACATATGAATAATCGAGTGACCATTTTGTAACTTTTAATAGTCAGAGGACTAAAAAAGTAAAACCTTGTAGTTGGGGACCATTTTATAACTTTTATAGTCAGAGGACTCAACAAAGCAATACCTATAGTTGGAGGGACCATTTGTGTACTTTACCTTATAAATAAAACATTCATTTATGAAGTCCAATGTACATTTACAAAACCCAACACCGGTACTCAATTTAAGTCCAATAAAGTTGAACCCGTTTAGCCCAAAACCCATACATTCTCAAGTTATGAGCTACATTATTTTTAGCTTTATTTATATAACAATATCCAATGTCATTACTTTTGCTTAATAGGTCATGTTAGTGAAAGATTTGGCCTTTAGTTAGCTAGGTGGTTAGCATTACAATGTTGATTGTGTCTCATTTTATCATGATTGTTTGTCATCTTTTTTCCATTTCCAGTCGAATGCCTTCAATGGAAGTTCGGGCCTCAACTAGTTTAGTGTCATGAAGGCCCGAAGTTAATTGTGCATGACCCGCTATCACCAAGTCATTAAGATCGCGCGCTAGCACCAATACTTCCGGTTGCACCATAGGCTTCCTCTACATTATCTTTATTAGACTTGTGCTCATTAAAAAAATTTTGTTATTTGATTAGACTTGTTGCTCATTAATCTCGTTAAAATTTTATTTGACTTGTGCACATTAGAAAAAAAATTAGTTTTGACTCGTTGCTCTTTAAGCTCACTAAAATTTTTAACTTATTTTTTTTAACTATAAGTAAAATCTACTAATGTTATACAAAGCTTAATATAAACATAAATTAACAAATTTAACCAAAAATTCTATCAAAAGAGTGTGTGAAGCAATTTCAAAGTCTAAACTCTAAAGTAATCATTAAAAAGTTAACAAAAAAAATTAATGGACTGCTCACGAACTTATCAAGTCGAGTTGAACCTTGTTTTACTTAATTCGTTAAGGTCTCGAGTCGAATTCTAGTTTGAGTCAAGCCAACTCGAATCGAACATATATCGAGTTTTAACTGAGTCAAGTTTGAACAACTCACGAACTGCTTAACTCATTAAACACCCCTAATTGTGGGTAATGAAGTCAACTTAGAACATTTTAGCCCATTTTAAAAAAATTATGGTTTAACTATGCCTTTTTCCCTTTAGATCTCAATAGTTTATTTAGGGTAATGTAGTGTCTAACGTTTTTTATGTTACCATTTTAAGTGTCAAAATTTTCACGATTATTAAAAAATATATTAAAAATCAGTCAAAAATCCATGTGTGGCCCTCAGCCTAAATTTTATTTTATCTTTCTAAAAATAAATTTCATACATTAAAAAACAATTTTTTTTAAAAAAAACCCAAAATTCATAAAATTTCAAAATATCATTTTAATTCTATCATCTACCACCATCATTATCGAAGATCACCTATTCACCCGTCGATTGAGATTTAAAGATGTGTGTCATAGTTTTATAGATTTTGGGGATTGAGGCTATTATAGAGTATGATCCACCAATGACGTATGAGTAGGCCGCAACAACGTGTGATCCCATGAGTGAAGTTAATGCTTTGAATTAAAGATTTTGGGACTTTAGAGAAATTTTGGTTTTTTTGAAAAATAATATTAATTTTTTAAATTTTTTAATAAGTTTATAAACACATCATGTGTCATATTTTGAATAGTTTACGAGATTTCTTTTAATGACTGTGATAGATTAGACACTTAAAATGATAACGTTGAAAATGATAACGTCAAAATGATAAACATTTACCTAAAAAAGAATTGAACAACTAAATAAAAAGATATATATATATATATATATATATATATATATATATATATATATATATATATATATATATATATATATATTGTAACCCCCTCAGACCGATGCGGGTGGCCCGATCCGGTACGGGGTGTCACATTAGGGAAATCAGAGCGATCCACAGTAAAAATCTCGGAAAAGTTAATTTTTTTTATTAAAACATGTAGTGTCTAACGTTTTTTATGTTACCATTTTAAGTGTCTTTTTCCCTTTAGATGCCAACAATTTATTTAGGGTAATGTAGTGTTTAACGTTTTTTATGTTACCATTTTAAGTGTCTAATTTTTCACGATTATTAAAAAATCTATTAAAAATTAGTCAAACAATCCATGTGTGACCCGCAGCCTAAATTTTATTTTATCTTTCTAAAAATAAATTTCATACATTAAAAAACCAATTCACCCGTCGATTGAGATATAAAGATGTGTGTCATAGTTTTGTACATTTTGGGGTTTAGGGATTTTAGGGATTGAGGCTATTATAGAGGATGATCCACCAATGACGTATGAGTAGGCCGCGACAACGGGTGATCCCATGAGTGAAGTTAATGCTTTGAATTAAAGATTTTGGGACTTTAGAGAAATTTTGGATTTTTTGAAAAATAATATTAATATTTTAATTTTTTTAATAAGTTTATAAACACATCATGTGTCATATTTTGAGTAGTTTA